CCTCAACAAAGATTCCTCTATGTCCGTGAGCGGGCGGGAACTCATGGTGATGACGTTGGTGGCTTCATAGTTGTCCTGTTCTCGTTCTGCATTTGGACATTGTCTCCTCACCAACTTTCTCCACTTCCTGTCGTGGGTATTCTCCATGCCTTGTCGAATCTTCAAGCATATGCTTTCAATCTTGGCAAAGATTGGTTCAAGATCCTCTTCCAAGGTCTTCCAAGGTTGTTGCTTGTATGTTATTTCTTTGTAATTTCAGTGTTCTCTTTGATAAAATTGTTATTATTTTTTTTAGAGATTTCAAATCAATTTATATAATATCAGACGATGGAAGTCCGAACTGATGAAACACACCACGAAACATTGTCAACCACCTTCAAAACAAACTCACAATGGGACCTGATGGGATATCTTTATTTTTTATTCACAAATGTCCATACATTTCAGCAATCTCATTAGGAAACATCTTCATTCAAATATTTTCCACAGAATTGGATCATTGGAAACATAGCTTCCTGAAACCAATACATGAACTAGGAGATAAAAAAATATTAGGAATTATAGAGCAGTTTGTAATCAGTCAGAGATGATATACAGGATTCCTCATCGAAAAAAAAAGGATCTTTCATATAAAGAAACTTCATTGGAGCATTCCTTGTTAAGATACAGTCCCTTAAAGGGGGAACATAAAATTTGAATAACAATTTTTTTCACAAGCACTGAAAAAGTTACAATATTGAAATTATCCTGACGTTTTGTACTACCAAAAAGACATTTAGCCAGTAATTTCTTTGGTTTACCCAATGGTTGTAAGGGGTGGAAAACGCAACCCATAAAATTTATTTCCAATGTAACTTTTTGTCTTATCATTTGTTTACCATTTGAAAATTTATTTCCGATAGCCTGTTTCTTTCTAAACAAAAAATGTATCCTTAGTTTTTTGCCCAAAATAAACCAGTTCGCAGTAAAAAATTATTTTACGAACAACTACAGAGATACATCGTCATAAAAGCGAACTGAATTTATTGTTATTTTGTAGTTAGTATCTGCATTAAACGATTGAAGGGTGATAAACAAAACTAATTTAATAATAACAAAACACACATGTAGAAATCATAGTAAATGTTCAATATGTCTATCTTCAGACATTACGCATGCGTCTAGACGTCGGCGCATTGAGCCACGTATTCGCTCAAATATTCCTGGAGTCTCTCTGATTACCCTGCACGCATCGATGATGCTGTTTCTTAAGTCCTCTACATCTCGAACAGGAGTACGATAAATCAAACGTTGTAAATGACCCCTGCATTATGAAAAAGTTTCATGATATTTGAAGATAGATTTCCAAGATCACGTATAGATTTATAAGAAAAATTGATAGGTGAACTATTATCATTACATACATTTCTGTTGATTAAATCGGAATTTGTATTACTGCCAGTATTGAAAATTATTTTATTGAAAAGTTTTGTGGAATAGAAATTTTCGATCAATGTGTCTCTAAATAGTCTGAAGATTTTTTTGCTTGAGAGAAGGGTGTACAAATTTTTCTATTCTTTTTTTCAAAGACAGTATTAATTTGATATCAACTGATTTTATGAAAAGAATAGTAATTGATATATTTTCCTGAATTAGTAGGATTGACATACCAATCAATGGTCAAGGAATTATCAGTTTTACGGATCTCTTGTATCAAGAAAAGGAACGGTCTGATTATTTTCTATAGTTACAAAGAAAAACATAGTTACAAAGATCATAAAGCATAAATAAGTCAGATTTTGATAGATAGACTATATCAAATACAGTTCCTCATTTCAGAAAGGAAAAAGCGTTTTTTCAGTGATATCCAAAAGCATTTTGCTGTCTATAATATCATGAGTTGAATAGCAGAAAAATGTTTTCCAAGATGATATTTAAACAATTGTCATACTATAAACTTCATTGAAAACGCCTTTCCACACAGATATATCATCATTACATCAAATTATTCCCCAATGTATTTCATATAACAGAGGGTAGTTTAAAAAATTGATTAGGTAAATAACAAATTCTAGAAAACCAGGTAGATTTAGAAAAAATTATCACAACTCAGCAGGTTTGATTTCTGTGTGTATTATGCCGTATCTCATGTTGGAAATCGTGGTTTTTCTCTGAAAAACTTCTTTTATTTTCATAAATTCTCGTTTGAAAATTTTTTGAATTACCTTCTATATAAACTTTTTACCACGATCCACATATAAGCTTGTAGACACGTGATTTATCACTTTTGTCCATGTTTTAATTGTTATTCTTTGTATGATTACCCATGGAGGTACCAAACTCATATACTAAGTAAGTAAGGAGTCTTTTCATTTTATCGTATGATATTCCTGTATATGTGAGTGTTTTGTAGGTATTATTTTGAGTTGATAGTATCATTTTTAATGTGGAGGTATTAAATGGCCTGTTTGAAAAGTTTTTGTCAAGAATATCATGAGTCATGTCCAGTTTGAGATTGTTATTTACTGCATGTTATGATGAGCCGCCAATTTATGTTGAAGGGGATGATCAAAATAGTTGTATTTGTATAGGTTGGTTTGTGGTAAATTGTGATATCATGTTTTCAAATGATTTTTGTGATCATCAAGTGTAAAAATATGAATTTTATGTTCAAATTCTAAGGGGAACATTTTGAGGATAGGTTAATTTTTGGAAAAGAAAGGTTTTGATTTTCTACTTCTCCATTTTCATAAAAAATGTGAGGATCTTCCAAAGAAAGTGGAACCTCGACACTGAGCCGTATCAGTGGTTAGGTTTCTCGACCACAGGTGTCGGATGACAAGTGGGCATTTGCCGCTAGCTTCAGTGAAGAAGGGGTGGTTCGATAAGAAGTCACTGAATTTCAAGTTATTTATGGGCGCCAGGTAAATTCGTTTCTTATATCAACATAGAGTAAGAAGTTTTGTATTTTTATAGTTCACTGTTTTTTTCCGTTACCCATATCGAAATCAAAGTTTTCGGTTCTTATAAAAAAATCAGGCAACAGCTTATGTGACGAACAATTAATTTGTGTTATGTTAGCAAAAATAGTAGCCAGGGACGTTTTTCATAAAGGTAGATGTAAGAAGATCATATTCGATAATAATTTAATTTGGAGCACATGTATGTTCGCTGAGATGGATATTATATCAACTAACTATTACTCATACTGAATTGAAAATTGTTACAATGAAAACAGCAGATGAAATATAGAAAGGAAAAACATAAACGTCAATCACATATGACAACTCACTCTAATGATTATAGAAGAGTAGCAAAATCAGAAAAAATACGTGTGTTACAAAATAAACCTTATTGATATGGACGATGAATCGACTACGGGAAAAACAACTTTCAAAAAGCAAATAAAACTCAAAAATGGACATCTTTCTTGTGTCAATATTCTCATTGATTGAAATAAATGTATTAATTACTTAATAGCTGACGTTAATGACTACTATAATTTTTTTCGAGTGATTACTCATTCTACACATTCCCAAGCTGATATATTAGATATTGGTAGGTGTAACATTTATATTCCAAAAGTCAGATACGAATGCAAAATTTCGAAATCATGTGATGGGTTATCGTAAGGAGCTGGATGAACACATATTCCATACGTTTAGCCAATCGCAACAGTACAGTTCCAACCTGATGAAACAGATATTGGAAAATGTACCGCTCATACTTTCGAAATTTACAGACAAGATATGAAAAAATTTGTCAAATCATTCTATTGGCAATCATAAGAAGCTGAATGAACAGATATTCTTTACAATTGCTCAACTTCAGTGATACTTTTTTTTCTAAGCTGATGAACAGTTATTAGAAACTGTATCACTCATAATTTGAGGAGAAGGGAAACATGTAAAATTGAATGAAATAATAGGTTAAGGATAAACTATGTTCCAATGACTTGTTGTATATGGATTTAAAAATAATTGAAGCACAAAAACCAACTTATAACACATTCAAAACTAATCAATGAACAACCAAAAAAAACATTTATTTGAAATATATTAAAAAGAAGGAAAAACTGTAATTTCACTGGATGAAACAGCTATTAAATTCTCTCATTACACAAAAAAATACACTTTTCAGCTAATTACCAAAAAATATCATTCATACTTGAAAAAATTCAACTTTTTGTATTGGAAAATTAGTTTCACAGGCCCATTATGAGGAATGAAGCCCCAGAGAACGAAAGANGGGTAATTTACTGAATGATCAATTAGAACTCAATAACTCTCCGTTACTGAATATATTTTTTCAAATGTGAAAATGGAACATAAGTGCAGGTAATTTAATTCGTTAGAAACTCAGGTAAAATATCAGCTACTTAAAATTCAGGTACTTCGTTTACAGGTACTTTGATTTCAGGTACTCCATAAACTATATATATATTTAGTATTGAATGTGTAGTTGTTGTTGAAAGACACGCCAGATGAAGCCATTGTATGGCGAAACACGTGTTGCGTTTTTGTAAAACTATTTAGTGAAAATCTCACAATAAAGTGTTTTTGGAATACGTTAGTTTTGGTTTTTGATCAAGTATCGGCCGATTCCATCATATTTCTAAGTTTCTGTACCTGCATATAGTTATCATTCAATCACTTACCATCAATCAGTTCTTGTTTGTAATTGCCTTGTAGTAATTGGTGCTTCGAGTGTTCTCTGAGATTCCTGTGACATACAAATACGAGGAATGAATAACCTAACATTCTAATATTCAGTTCTTCAAAATATACATTTACATCGCTGTTGAGTTATATTGGTAATCTGTGTCACTTCTGTTAAGTTCATATCATTGAAAGGTTCGATTAAAAGGGTTTACCTGTGACGTCATTGAAGATGATTTCACCCCGAACAGACCGTCTGTGACTGCAATAACCATGACGACCAGATATCCGCAATAATTAACCCATTTCATGTGATTGCGAAATAAAACTGACTAGATGACAAGTTGACATACCTTTGAAAGGAGGATATCCTTTCTTTTTTTGATCATCACGGCACATGGCTAGAGCTGAATTTGAGAATTGTGCTCACATGTTGGATGGATTTGCCTTATACGTATCAGGAAGTGAATATAAGAGTTTTTCATTCTTGAGAAAAGAAAAAAATACCCACTTCAGTGTTTTGGGATTTGAATTATTCTATCTGCCTAATCAAGCCGTAATCGTTAGACCTCACTTCAGGCCATCCACTATATACAGGTACGTCTTCCACTAGCTTGTCAACTATTCATTGAGACGTATCTTAATAGGCACCTCTTCCAAATAAAACTGGAACTTGGCACAGTATTGTTCGTATAACTTTACTTTGTTTCAGGCCTTTTTATTTTTGCGCTTTCGCTTTATCTCTTCGTTGTACGCTGGTTATATCTTGACGATTAGCTTATTGTTACCTTTGTTACGTTACTACAAGAAGTCTCTGGTAACCAGAAGATCATTGATTACAACTCTACCACTTACCAAAGAATCTCAAGATCATTTATGAACACACCAGATCTCTACAAACTTTCGAACGAAGAGAATATCAATTGGAGAAAGATATATGCTGGCAACACCTTGATCAGGCGAGCTATTTCTATCATTTCTATTGCTTTACCTATATCAATATCACACCTCTTGTTGCTTGTCAATTATCCTGTTTATTGGTTACATTTGAATGCTGCTTTTTGGCTGTGAAGCCTTATCTACCAGTGATTCTGGAAGAAAGAACACAACTAACTAAATATCACAACTCTGAAATTATATTTACTTATCACTTACTAGTTTATATATATGTAAACTCTAATGTATATATACATAGGGGTATCAAATGATCATGTCCTTCTCCCCATGCGGATTGAATGATTCAATGTTGAGTTAATACGTAGTTAAGTCTACTTGCAACTTGCACAACGAATAAATCCTCTTCCTATCACATGAGAGTATTTCTTCCACGACCCACTCTCCGAAAATAGCTAACCACATTATTTCAATTAGTAAAAACTCCATTATAGCCTCCAAACGTTGCTCCTATCATTTATAGTCGTTTGCAGGTTATACCGAATGGCATCCGTTCAAATTGAAATAGTCTGCGATTGGGAACAGTGAAGGCTGTAAACTGTTTCGAATTCCATCTTCACCTGCCAATATGCGGATTTCACATCTAGACTTGACAGATATTTCGCATCGCGAAGTTCATCTGATGTATCAGATACCAAGGGAAGTGGATAACTGTCTTGAACTGTGACGGAGTTCAACTTCCTGTATCTACACAAAACCTAAATGAATTGTTTTTTTCAACTAGGAGAATCAAAGATGCCCAAGGACTGTTAGACGGCTCAACAATACCCAATCTGAGCATTTCATCTAATTCCTTATCTATATGTTGCTGGACTACTGGGTTCACCCTGTAGTACCGCTGCTTAATTGGTGGACTATTTGTAACTTTCACATGTTCTACTTTCGTAGTACAACCTAAAACATTACCCATCAGCGCCAAATTCCTATTATTGCTTGAAGCCTATTTCTCTCCTGAAAGAAATTAGAAGATCCACCATCCCAATACTTCGACAACTGACTCCATTGGCAACTGTGTAAGATGTGACCTTATTTCGATTCACAGGAATACCCAACTCCCGAACAATTTCCAAACCTTTTACAATACCCACTGCTTGGTTTGATATACGCACTGTGAGCTTAAGTTCATGCTCAAGGGCATGCTACGTGCAACTCAGGATCATGTGACGTCACGAGTGATGGAGTGTGAGTGTGAGTGAGGATAACTTTCTCGAGCAAACCTATTATTTTTCGCATCTCGTCACTATATTCTTTTTCTTCTGACTCTTTCAACTTGAAATTTACAAATTTTCGGCAGACATATGAGGTACATAATAAAAAATAATGAACATTTCAACAACCAAATTTATGAGACAACACCAACACAAAATGATATGAAACAACCTAATGGCTTCATCTGTTTGATTCGTTTTGTGTTGGGGTTTTCCCAAAAATTGGGTTGTTGCAATATATTTTATTCCTTATATTATGTGTCTGATATGTCTTATGGTTTTAAAATAATTATGGTATTAATACCAGGAAACTAATTTTTGGTGAGTAATTATTTGAAAATTCCTTATTTTTTGTAAAACTGAAACAATGATAATTGTATACGTTTTGTGAGAGGTATGTTTGTGAAAAACTTATCCTGTTACCTAACCAACCTTTCTTCAGAAAAATTGTTGGATCACTCAACTAGTTATCTGTTCAAAATAATGTTCTACAAAAATTATAATGAAGAAATATTTTTCATTGATTTGTGTACGCAATACATCCGAAAACAGTGTTTTTGACTCCCAGGAACTCCTCGCCATTGGCGACTTCTGTTACGTAAATTACTATTTTGACAAATGACACTTTCCTAGACATTTTTGGATGATTCTATGCTTACCAACAGTACCTTTCCAATTTCTTTCTTTAGTGGCACCCTGTAATACAACAATTTGAAAACCTCAACAATAAATGAATGATTATATCAGTCATGAAATTTAGGTTCAACAAGTCTAAATTGAAAGGCTACACTTTTGCCTTAGGGCATGGGGGTTGTGGGTTCTCGAAAATTACTTTTCAAGAGAGTGCATCACATATTCACTTAGATGTTAGATGTATTAGATGGAAATACGAAAAAGTTATTATATAGAAAAACAACATATAATGAAACTTCTCGACAACTACCTGCCGAGAATAAGGAGGCAAAACTTAAGCACGGTCAGTTGACCGGTCAGTTGACCGTTGACATTGATGAACAAAGCTCGCTGCTATCAACGGGCCAAAGAAGTCCCTTATGTAGCGGCATAGGGTGTCTTGTTACAAGGTGAGTTGAAGACTGGCCGTTTTTCTATCCGATTTTTTTATGTATTCGTGAATAAATCAGATGAAGAGTCAGAGTTTCATCAGTTCAATGGAAATATTTGTTCTGCCATGGTTCAATAATGAAAAATACAAGAACGTACGAAGATCTTACAACTCAAACTCTCATATAGGTCAAAGAACAATATCAATAGATGCTTTGCTATTTTTTCCGAATATAATTTCATGTGAACAGTTTCAATTAATCACCAAGAGAAATGTGAAACTGACGGCGAAAGGATGTAAGGAGGGAATTACATTACATATGTTTCATAACTAAATACTGATCCTGAACAGCAATGATTCTTAGATGATTCTCAAGAAAAATCCTTCATATCCAATCGCTTCATTTCTAAGACAAAGGATGTTGAAATCATAATTTCTCCTCTATAAAATGCCCTCATTTGCTTGTTTTCATGCGAAATCAGCCGTTGAAGTTCACCACAATGACAATTCAAACACTTCTCTAGCTAGATATGTGATCATAATCACGACATAAAAACTTGTTTATTTGAAAAAAATAACGGTGAATTTCACATATACCCGATTGGCATACATGCATTATTTGTATGGACTTGCTGACGAAAACACAAATGAAACCAGCTGACCATGTCAGGGGGCTTTCCCAAATAGAATAGAATAGGATCAAATAGAATCATTCATCCATACAAGATTAAGTGAGCCAAATCATCCCTTAAAAAGAGCACATTGAACTGCAGGAACTCCAGCAATTGAGCTAGCTGTTTTGAATTCAGTTCACAAGAATCCTGAAATGAGTACAAAGTAAGTTGCCGATGATTTGAAAATCGTTCATATGATTATTCATTATTCATATTCACATCCAACGGGTTCACTCAAAACAGGATTGTAAATTTCCATATTAATTATTTTTGGGCCGCGGAAAATCGTCATGCAATCATGGTATCTTATCACCAGAAGCAATTCTTATTGAATATCTAGGCCGGAATTATTGAAAACTACCTAATTCAACCTTTTTCTATCACGCACATTAAAAAAACATTCCCATCGAGCATTTTTTTGAGACGAGTTGGAGATGTTCCTATCTCGATGCGAAATTGCACGTGGTTTATAAACGATTATTTACCTGCCCATTTCAGTGCTCTGGCACACGATTATTCAAACCAGAACTTTCATAATCGCTAAATTGGGTGCGGAGAAATAGAATCATGGCCAGTCTTGATTATTTTTTGGTGGACATCTCAAGACTCTGGTGTATAGTCAACTGATTCAAACTGAGGAAAAATTTCGAAACTACGTAATAGTTTTGAGTATAAGGAATACTTCGGAAATTTTTCAAAGAATACCTACGCGAGTCAATTGAATGTCAATTTCAATGCAATCCAAAGTTTGAATACTTTCAAGAGGCGGTTATTTCGACACTCAATTGGATTTTTTCTTCATTTATATATTTTTTTGTAAATAAAAATGTATTTTCATGCATATTCATTTCGAAAACTGAATAATTTATAAATACGTTAGATATAACAATCGTGAAATCAAGAATAAGAGGAAAGAAACTAATAGGGACAAAAAAGATGTTATATTTCATTTCCTATCTCGAAAGGAAAGTATTATATGAATCTATAACTTGTACACTAGGAACAACATCTTTTGAGCAAAAATAATCATCATTGGAATCAATGAAGTCGCCTTGGAGCGCCAATTCATTTTGGTTGTTTCATAACTTCATGATTTGTATTACTTTATTTTTCAATATACTTCAAGTACGTACAAATATATAAAATTTGACTCTGCGACGTACTGATACTTTCTTATGCCAATTATTCAGATACTATCCATAGTCCAGGAATTTTGAATTTTAACAGGCAGAGACTTCGAAAACTTCAAGATTCGTGCATAAGACTCGTCACAGGCGCAAGGAGTCGCGAGCACGTACATGGACGCTAGGCGGACAATGAATTCTACTACTATATTTCATAGGAACATTTCTACTGGAAAATTTAGTTAGTAAATAATTGAGTCCATGTTGAAGGAAAAGTGCCCACCGGAGTAAAAATTTTGGCAGTTCATCGATGACCGATATGATTTCAGATGATACGATGGCGATCAGCTGCCTAATTCGATTTCAGACGTTTTGATTCAACCGGATGACGCCAATTTACCCACAGAAGTGATTATTAAAATCTCAATTTTTATTGTAAGATGTTGTTTAACGCTTCATTTTTCGTTCGGAATCAACCACTACTGATGACGCTGAATAATATGGTGTAATATATGTGTGAATCAACTATAGTGTTTATAAAAACTGTGTTTATGAAAATGATTCCTCGAAATGAAAAGGAAACTATTTGTCGATCGTAATTAATCACCTTTGTTAGCTTATATTTTTTGTGAAAGTATCCAAAGCGAAATGACACAATATAAAATCATAATAAATATGATGAAAACCAAAATAATTATAAAACTGAAATAGATATAATTATTATATATCATTACAGGATTCATGATCCCAAATGTGTCCCCATATTATGCTGTCTGACTATTATAATAGATCTAAAGTAAATGGAACTTCAAACGTTCAAGCCAGTCTCTATGTACCTACACAGTAAGTTTAATGGACTGACGCCTATCAGAAAACAACTATTCCCCTGGCTAATACCACGAAGGGCGTTGGATTATATCCGACAGGCGTCAGTGCAGGAATTTTCACAGAAAATGTCCTGCATATGCAATTGCCAATTGTATATCCAAGACATTTTCTGTGAAAATTCCTGCACTGACACCTGTCGGATATAATCCAACGTCAATGTCAATGTCAATGTCAAGTCAATG